AATTACCAGGAAAGGGATGTCAGGGAAGGAGCAGATTTTCTTATGGTCAAACCTGGGATGGCTTACCTTGATATTGTGAGGCAAACTAAGGATAAGGTACACAATGGATTGTTTACTTTTAGTAACTTTTACTCACAAGACTTAGCATTTTTGATACAAAATGTACATATCATTCCATGCTCATTAGCTTAGAGAATTTTGTCAAGTATGTCCCCATAATTGAGCCAGGTTTCTGAAAATGCTCGGACAACTTCTGAAATTATCATAAAGAGCTGTCAATGAGAGACTAGCAACTAACAGGTCTGCTAGTATCTCAAAAGACTCAACTCTCTTCCATGCCATATAACATGGTTTACTTTGTTAACTTTCCCAGTTAATTGGAAAATGATGAATTTTCAGAGTTATTTACTCAGACCAGATATAAAAGTCAGGCAGAATGGATATTTTAGATAAGAAGAATGTTTTCAATGGACAACCATAAGACACGCACATAATAGTTCAATACAGGGATCATACCAATTACCTTCAGCAATAGGTTTATCAAACTGAACATATTTGCATAAAAGTCACAGTTTTTCACTACAAAATTAATTAACATGAAGTCATCACTATGATAATTTTAAATTAATTGTCATTAACACTTTTTGAGACTTTTGATTTATTTCACTAGTTCCCTGATTTGCCACTGGCAATTTACCAGGTTTGTATCAAAACACTTCTTTGAATTTTACTCAAATTCAATTAAACCTTTTATTTAAGGATGCATCAGTTAGAACCATGTTAGTTCACAAGTTAATTCTCACAGACCACCTGAATCTGAGTCGAAAGGAGGGGAACAGACATGAAGATCAACATCAAGAAAACCAAAAATATAATTTATATTACTGCTGTTGCAAGAAAGTCCCTTTTGTTGTCAAGTCTCACAAATCAGTTCATTCCTCTTTCCTAAGGTGTCAGGGGAATTTGCAATGTTGTATCATGGAAGTAAGGCAGGAGCATTTGACTTAAAGAAAATTGTTCTAGAATGCTTAACCTCTATGAGAAGGGCAGGTAATAATAATTTTGTATTATTAAGAAAAAATTCTTATTATATTATTATACTTTTGAATGCCAGTACTGATATTTTTTTCAATTTTCATTGTTTTATACACATGACTTCTGTGAGCCCTTCTCTTCCAAAGACATGGAAGCTGATTAGCCAAGAAATAAACAGATTTTGATTTTGATGGATCCTTAATTGTTGGTTAATGTTTTGTTCATTACCTTACTGTTGTTAACCTCAGTTAGCTGTAGTAACAGGCAGGTGTAGCTCATGGTTTAGATCTCACACAAGGATACTGTTTAGTAGTAATTACAAACTAATTCCCACGAATAAAGTTATTTCCAAGAAATTAAAATTATGATCAATTAATTGTTCTCTAGTAACCTTCTAAATGAAAGTTAACTTGTCTTATGTGGTTTTTCAGGTGCTGACATCATCATAACATATTTTGTTCCACAACTATTGGACTGGCTGAATGAAAACAACTGATCACCATGTTCTCCTTTTCAGGCCATAATTGCTGTTTAACACTCTTTCTTAACTGTATTATTATCACATCCTTTTTTTAATTCTTTAGCATGTCACACACAGTACATGCTAGTTTAATACATTAAAGTCCCCTACACCTTCGTAACACAAAATGACCTCATGAAAGTTTATGATGTCAGAAACAGTCAAACTACATCATTTAAATTAATGATGTCCTCAAGATAGTGGCACTTTAATCAACTTAATGATGTCTTAACATTAACAATGTCACAAGCAAATTTAAATCAAAATAAATGACATGGTAAACAAATTTAAAAACATCATTAATTATAGTAATGACTTAACATGTCAAGAACTAACATGGTTAGTAAAATCAACAACGTCATTAAAATTTATGACCTCTGACTTTACTACATGGAAAAATGTTGATGCCACAAGACTTCATAAGGTTATTAAGTTGGTACATAGTGCCTCTTATTACTGCCTAAAATCACTTGAAATTCTTTAAATTAAGGCGAAAGTTTTGCTCTACCAGTCTGAAAATTTCTCTCACATGTTGTTCTTAAAGTAAGGGAGAACACTGGATCAGGAGTTGAGTGACAGTATGCAGCACTACTTTAAGGCATCAATTAATTCAATTAAAATTGTTAGCTTTTGCAGTAATTTTTATCGAGAAATGCAATGAACACAAAGCGACATTGCATCACTAGTATTTTAGGGTTCTAGTAGGTTATAATAATTATTTTAAACATGATACTCATTGAGTTACATAATAATTGCATTTTTGAGGAAATAAGGCTGTGTCATATTGTAAAATAAGAGAATTAGACATTCATTAGCAATTCTAGTTGATCCCTGTGACATCCAGGGCCAGGTTGTTCAAAGCTGAGTTAAGATAACCCAGGGTTAGTGTGAAATCTGATTTCAGATCTAAAAGCTTAAAACAAGATCAATTATAAGTAATTTTGTCTATAATTTGATTATTGGATACTCTAAAAAGAATCAATAAAATTATCCTGAAAAGGCTTGTAAGACCCACATTAAATTTCAGCCTTGGATTAGTGCTAATTATTCTTCCAACAATTTGGCCCAGGAAAGTAAGTGTAAGTGTTGAACTAGGAGTAACCATTAAGGGGAGTGTACAATTCTAGATTCTGTTTGACTATTTATTTCATTGCATTAGAGGCTATTTTTCCAATAAATTCATAGAAGGTTGAGCCTCAAAAATTCCAATTTCTCTTGTTTCTGAAAATTTTCAGAAGATATTAATTAATAACAAACACATTGCTTCATGTTTCTGAACCTTCAAAATAAATATAAATAATAGCAAAATCATGTAAGTAATGCCAAAGATATAATACTCTTTCACCTTGCTTCATGTTGGAATTATGATATCACATATATATACTTAACATTTTTGTAGTAAAAATAATTTTGAAAATGTTTTTTTCAATGCATTTCAAGCCATTAGTTTGACTCAATAAATATATTCCCAGCTTTAGAAGCAAAACATTCAAATATTTTTTTAAACTGCAGTTAAAAACTTGCATTTTTTAAATATTCAGAAGTTCTTTTAATTCTGAATTTTCTGCAACATCAGCTGGGCGACAGCCATCACTGTCGATAATTGTAGAATCTCCTCCACATTGTAAGAGTTCTTTTACTATTGACAGAAAATCACAGGTGGCAGCTGCAATTTGGAACAAAGACAACACTTCAACACTTAAAAATGCTAAGACTAAAATTAGCTTTTCCATATAAAGATTATTTTGTCTTCTTCTAAGTCCTCATTTTGATCTGAATAGAGCTATTTAAGGTACACTTTGTTTTATTAACTGAGTTGACAATGTAATTTGGGCACTGAAGAGCTTCTAAAGCTGCCTTTTCAAGTGATAGCCATACGTCAGAAACCTTACTCAATAAACACAGCTTTGTGATCTTTGTGTCCCTTTTTTTTCTTGCTTGCTGTTCAATTGATATTTTTTTCCCAAAAAAAAAAAAAGTTAAAGTTATTTACCATAGTGTAGAGGTGTCTGACCATCAGCATCCTAAAAAAGTAATTATATCATATTTAGGATCCACCCATGCATGCTTGGCTTGGTTAAAATAATTTTATTCTTAAAAACCAGAGAATAGCATTAAGTGCCTACCTGTATATTAACCTCAGCCTTGTTTTTTATTAGATATGTTACAACCTCCTCATGGCCTCTGTCACAGGCCCAGTGTAGTAAAGTCATACCCTAGGAGAAAGCATATTATCCATATACCACAGTAAACATAATATCTTAAGAATGCCCGGTCTCTTGAATTACATACACTGGGAAAAAACCATACATTTCAACCATGTCACAAGCCAAATTCCACTGAAAAATGCTGATATTTGCCCTAATCATTGGCAGGTGTGATCTGCACAACCAGAATGCATATTTTTAACTCCTGTAAGTTGCTTAACCCATATCATATTTCTGAACAGAGAGAAAAAAAGTTGTGGTTTAGTTGTGTTCCTTACTAAAATACAATAACCTGACAGTACACATTCCTGTCTTCATTGATTTAAAGTCAACCTAGAATCCTCTAATAACTGAAACACTAATGATGCAGCTTTGCTTGGGCTAGTCATGCATGGTGAGTCCCAGTAACACTGGCTGCAAAGGAGCCAACTGAGTTTGCAGCTCAGAAATTATATTTTGAAACAGTCAAAATTGCTTACCTGCTCATCCTTTGCGTTAATGTTCTCCCCTTTGTTCAGAAGAACATCCATCCTTTTAACGTTACCCTCCTTGCACCAATCAAACACTGACTTGTTAGCATCACTACCATTTCAAGAATAACATTTTCAATCAAAAATCTCATCTGGTCAGACTAAAATCAATGCATGCATGCATGAGCATGAATATCATGCTTGGGAATAAAAATAATTCAACCTTGTTGTAATCATAATTTAAAGTAAATGGTTCAAATACAGTTAACTCTTAACACCCTAATGTTTGCCTACCATCCTGACACTGATATTCTCACAACATTTTCTATGGTACTAATATGGAGAATTTGTTTGGCAATCACGAGCTTGTGCTTGCACAATTGGTAATCATTTCCTTTATTCTCATGTCATTTATATGATACTGTAGGAGGAAATTAGAAGCTAGTCACTCTTAGGGAATAAAGGGTTGTTGGTGTGGTCTGATTGTCTGTATGATAGCAGGCCAGAAGGAACTGCTGTTTCCTCAATGTGATCAGGAAGAGTTGTCAGTCAGTTGAGTGTTACAATGCTGACCCATGAAAACCAAAAGGTCAGTTTTGCCATGATATTATTGGTGCTGTTTGTGGTTAGTGTAGGCAAATATCCCAGAAAATATCTCAAATAAATAAATGTTCCATGTTATAAAACACATAACATACTTAAATACAGACCTAATGACATCATCCTCATTTCCTCTGAGTGTGCTAACAGCAAGACCCATTGTCTGTTTGTGAGCTGGTTTTTCAGTTTCCTTTGGAGTCTACATGAAAAATTCCGAAAAAAGAATTTCAGTCTCATGACTGGTGGTCACAAGACTGAAATTCTTGAATTGGTGACAGACAGGTGATTAAACTTCATTGACCTAAGATTCATTTGTAGCCTACCAAGTCATCAGTGACAGCATATTTTGCTTCCCATTCAGGGTCTGTTTCAAAAAGTTCCTGTATATAACGTTCTAGTGCTTCTTGCTTTGACATGTCTCCAAGTTTTTTCCAAGAGTCCCTTTAATGATAGAAGACATAATATATTATCAATGGTTACTTTGCCTTCAAATCTCCATAAAAACTTTGAGGCAATTTTTGGTTTGCAAAATATGTTAAGTTTCTGAGCAAGTTTGAAACAAAAAATATGCAAGGAATTTATCCTCACTGCATGTGATTACAATCAACTAGAAGGGAATGATGGTACCTTGGTCAATTCCTTCACTTGCAACTGTAAGTGATACTGGTACCTTTGGAATCTAAAATTGTTTTAGGCCAAATCTGCAATTATAGGGTCATCCAGGTAATAAGCAAACCTGTCTTTTATGAAATCTTATCCTTAACATGATTATTTTGCTGTGTAAGAGAAATATCTGAAGATGGCCAGATTGCTCCTGGGTTTGAAAAGTGCCACTTCCCAACATGTTTTTCTAGGGTTACACTTCACTAAGTCAAAGCAAACAGGGCATGTCTGGGAAACATTTATGAAAAAAAGGAGGAAATTAGGATTACCACTTGGCTTTTCCTATCATATCCCAAAACCCTGGTCTTGATGTATTGCATGGTCCTTCTTTAGCCTGAGACAAAAAAAGAAACCGGAAAAAAATAGGATTTGAATTTCCACAGTATGTAAAACCCAAACAAACTTAACCTCTTGTAATCAGTCTCCATCAGTTAATTTTGCATTTATTGGAACTGATATCCTTCCTCTATTTTCCTCTTTTCTCTCCTCATATCTTGTTCAGTTTTGCTTGTGTAAGGCTCCATGTTTTTTGGCTTTAATAGTTACCATTATAACTCCATCGTAGCAGCAGAATATAAGGCCACTACAGGCTAGCTTCCAAGAACGAGTCATGTAAGATGAATCCACGTTTCGATAAGACTTACAGCTTGAAAGAAAATGTTCACATCTCAAATTTGTCTCTAAACAGATAAATGATCTATTTAATTAGTGATTTAGTGCGGTGAGTATTTTAAAGGACTGTGCAGTTAACGGAAATTACTTATAGATATAATACACACCTGTTTGTAAAGAGCATAAAAAGTCAATTTTTTCTCATCGCTTAAATTCTTTATAGTTCGAACAAATTCTGTTGCAGCTTCAAAGAGTTTTTCCAAGTCCTCCGCATCAAGCACAACTTCATCAAAGTACTCCGCCATCTTGATTTTTTTCAAAACACGTACACTGCTGACGTATGGTGGGCTCGCGAGATATTTTGTCACGCCACTTCACGAGATCACGCGACAGATGGCGTAAAAGATCAGTGTCCTGGAAAAATGGCTCTGAGACCTTAAGTCTCACCTAGCTATAATTTCTTTCACATGAAACATGACAAAAGTGCAAAAAGATTTGCACCTGCTTGATGTAAACTTCATAACTCGATTCTTGGGGATCAAGGCATGTTGTGTATTTTAAAATAAGGTTTTGTTATTGACAATGCTTGTCAAATGTGACAACATCAATGCCAAAGACAAATTATCATTCATGCAGCCTTTTAAGATGAATTATTTTTAATGCTATATGCCCATGTATATTCAAAGAAGCTTTTGTTCTGCCAAACACACCTCTGTAACATGTCTAATTTATGCAACTATCAGATCTATCAAAGACAAATTATCACTCATGCAGCCTTTTAAGATGCGTTATTTTTAATGCTTTATGCGCATTTATATTCAAAGAAGCTTTTGTTCTACCATACACACCTCTGTAAGATGTCTAATTTATGCAACTATTGGATCTATCAATCAAGATGGTTCAATTCTAAAGGAAATGTAACTAGTACATTCTACTTACAGAAGCAACTTGCATTTCTAATTACAGATTGTTGAAAAACCCAACTTATAAATAATACAAAAGTAAATAAATACCAGAGATCTGAATTAAAAATTTTCATTTTACTTCTTTTTGTCTCTAGAAGAAAAAAATAATTAGAGCAGGCTTTAAAAGCCTAAAACTGGCATTTCTTGGTGAGCTCAGGTTTGCCCTCACGGGACGCCAAGATGCACAGGTACACACCCATGTTTGTTGTAGAAACACATAAACTGTAAGTCAAGAGCACAAGGAACATCAGTTTTAACACTTGTTTATCATACGTTACCTTTAAAGTAATACAGGATTACTAGAGTGTCAAATAACTACTGTTTATAAGGGGGGGGGAGATTGTTCAGTGTACATTTTACATAAGTTGATGTTTTTAAGATTATAAGATAAATCCACATGAAGTAGCAGAGAGTAAAATTTTTTCATCCGTAATTTGAAAGATAAGTTTGCTAAGAACTGAGAGTTTAAATTGTGTTAGTGAAATAGTGGACAAATACTGTTTAGAACTGTTCACTATCCCACCTATTAAAATTTTTTCTGAGGCCATTCTGACTAGTTTGTGATCAAAACTTAAAGTAGTCAAGATGGCAAAATTGATTACACTTTGTAGAAATATAATTGATCAATCTATCATAAATAACTAATAATCAATGAAATTCTCACCTTCCATCATCCCACACACAAAGATCAGTCAGGGGACCAGCTCCAGAAAAATCAAGAGTTGTGAGGCATTCTGTTAATTTTTAAAACAAACAATTCCTTTCAACACTAACCATTATTCCTTCAATATTTCACATACTCAAAAGAGCTTCATGAGTTAGTGAAAGTCCTAAATTTATGGTAAAAGTAATTATTTTTTAAATTTATTTAGTTGGGTTTAAATGCCTTGCAGATCTGAGAGGAACCACATTAAGAAAAAAAAGTTAATGCCAAATTTGTATTGTTGATTCATATAATAAATAAGAAGGGTTACAAGCCACAATTTTAAAAGGGTCACTCTCTCCAATAAGCTACCCTTAACAATACATTGGAATCTTGTTTTACCTGTGCTGTCTCTCTCCCAAATTTTCACAGTGGAATCATGCGAGGCAGTAGCAATTCTAGCAAACAACAACAAATCAGCATTAAGTTTAATTCTATTTTAAATGTGACATGAAGTCACTTAAATATCCAGGCACACAATTTGCTCTTTTCTCCCTCTTCTGAAGAGAGACTGCATTGTGTGACAAGCATAAATGATTGCTACAAAAGAGTCTAACTACTTACAGATCTTTCGACCAAACATGTTCCAGACGAGGAAGAAAAACACATGCTGATGTAGTCTGCTGATGGCCAATGTATCTACATATCATTTTCTGTTCCCTCACATCCCAGAGCTGTTGATCAAAAAAACTTGTTCGCAAATTTCATTTTTAACATAATTTCACTGGGCTGGCTTCAAAAAGTTTTAATCAACAAAAGGTGTCTGCAAAAGGAGACTTGAAGTGTAGGTTGTAATTTACAGTCTAAAAAAGGAAAAAGCCCATTGCATTTGGTGAACATGTGATATTTGACAACAGGCATCACATTACAGAGCACAACCTGCAAAGGTGAGACTTCCTGTGCGACAGATGCATTATTAACAAAGGTTTGATGTCAAGACATTGAGATTTGGCTTATTGTTTTTGGTTTTTTTTTTGCATTTCAACCCTTTACACTCTAACACCAGTATGCATATTCTCCACACCATTCTATGTACATTTCCTAAGGTGCTGACAAGGAGAATTTACCTAACAATCAAGAGCTTGTTTAGTTGGTGATCATTTTCTTTACAGTACTTAAGTAACCTTAATTGTTGATTCATAGGTGATATTGTATGGAGAAATTTGATGCTAGTCACTCTTAGGGGTCAGACTTAATGCTGTTGTTTTGTAGGAACAAAGCATGCAACATTGGCCTTTATCTGCCTGTTTGGCAAATAAGAACAAAGGTTAATTTCATCTTGCTTTCTGACAAGGCCAGTCATATATCAAAAGCGACTTTCAACTTGTAATGCAGTTTGTAGCACCATATGAATATTTTCAGAACATCAAACATGGGAAGAAGGAGAAAAGAGAAATTAGTAAAAAAAAAGTATGTTAAAAAACATAACTCACTGTAGCTTCACAGCCTTTTCCATTGAAACCATTACTACATGTCAAAATAAACTGCCCATTTCTTGAACAATCACAGCAGGTCTTCAAAACAAAAATGATTTACTGGTAATTAATTACTACAATCTGACATTTATAGCCTTGAAGGAATCTCTGAAGGTATTAACATGACAGAGGAGGCACAAAGACGTATTTTACTTGACATTAATAATCCAAATTTTACTTAACGGGTAAAGATTTTTTTCATTTGACAAATTTTTTAGTTTTATACCACAAGTCAAAATCAAAAGCAGGTGTTATTGAGTGAAAAACAACATGTCAAAATTATATTTTCCAAAATAGTGAATACCTGAAAATACTGCTGAGCAGGAAATGTGAATGAAGGTTGCATGTTCCTTGTATCCCAAATTCTGATGCAAAAAATACATAATATATTGATATAGAAAAGATCGTTGTGCCAACATATTACAATTAAAGTAAACAACTCTTGCAGGGACACTAGATACCAATAAATTGAAACATGTCTAATGTTGCCGGGTTATTCCCTAAGGAAGGCTGTCTTACAACTAAGAAAATTCAGTAAGCTGAATTTAGTTAGTAGCACACAAAGTATGTGCAGAAATTGAAAAAAAAAATGCAAATAAAAGAGAGACTAGGGACAGGAAGAGTGATGAAAGTAGACACATATAAAATGGCTGCAACATCTTCTCTTTGGATACCTACTTAACAGCTGCTTGCTTTCTCATAGTTTATTTGTTCTGTTAGTCTCAAAAAGGATGGTAGGATATTCACATGACATGTTGCTCCCACCAACCAGTGTATGATATCACCATCAGATAAGATAAAAAAGACCATCTGCCATTCTTTACCTCACCATTTTGTCTTCTCCAGTTTGAGCAACTCGAGTCTGTGTTCCAGGTATCCATTTCACACAACTTACCTACAAACAAATGAGTAGAGAGTATTAATTTATACATTCATTAGCAATTAATTATCAATTATACAGCAAGTGTACTTCTATGTTGTACTGCACCTCTTTTTTTGGAACTAAATATAGCAACATCAAAAAATGACCATCACAAAATGACCATCAGACTGACTAAAGGCAGTCTTAATCAAGACAGTCAATAAATTCAGCATTAAAACTTACCAGATTTCTGGATACTTCTTTTTCACTGATACTTGTGTTCTTTGTAGTGTCCCACAGTCTTACACAGTTGTCTCGTGACCCAGAAAATAACAAAGTTCCATCTACAACAGTACCAAAAAAGAAGAGGCATTACCTGTACCTCATTGTCACCAGCACTTAATTATAATAAGGTAACTACAAATTAGATTTACAGCCCTTTTGAGTAAAGAACAAGTTGTTCTGGGTCAAGTTAATCAGTTGATGTACAAGGACCAATGACTGACAGCAGCAGTTGACAACCCCTTGTAAACTAACTGTCCAAGTTCACTCGCTGCCCACTATTCTTTTAAGTAATACAGCTTAACAACAAGAGAGTGAAAATACTTCCATAGGTGTGTATTTGTGAGAAACATTTGATTCAACTTCCATCTTTACTGGAATTACTGCTAGATAAAATGTCAAACTCACTTCAGCTATCAATTAACTTATTTTGTGTCACTTATTTTACTCTGAAAAATGACTTCCCCTCTTGGAAGGTGAAAGAAAATTAAGAACACTAGATGACCAAATTGTTTAACTCATAATATTTTTCAACAAATAAACAAAAATTGTGTTCTTCTGCATTACCTTCATTAAGATCGATAGCTGTCACCACCAGTCTGTGACCCTCAAAGGTTGAAATGGGTTCATTTCCTGCTTTACTGGCCTGCCAAACCTTAATTGTCTTGTCTCTTGAGGAACTGAAAATAGTTTCTCCTACATGTTTGACCTGTTGAGAAACCCAGAGGTCAAAACTCAAGGCTTTAAGTCTAAATGTCAGGATCAAATTATATTTTCCAGTTTTTCTATATGTTAATATCATAGCAGTCTGCAGAAACACAGCAGTCAAAAGTCTATCCATGTGCAAACTCTGTAATGACTAGGTGGCGTGTTTTCCAGCTGTCTAAACCAAGTTGTCTCACAAATATTACAACTAACCATGCCAGCCAGTATGTCACAGAATTTTGGAAGAGTACAACTTTTTGGTAAAAGGTCAAAACAGAATGGTAAATAAACAGGATGTTTGTTATGTTTTCCTAAGATATTTTGTGGGGGGAAATTGGCACAGTTGTCCAAAACTGATCTCCTTGTGCATTAACCCTATGTTTGACAGCTATGTTGTCTGCAGAGTATGGGGGAAGTTGATGAGATCTTGTGTGTGGAAAGG